AGGTCTGGAACCGGTTGACTTTCAACCACAGGTGAGTTCTTATTCATGATTTGTTTCTCAGTTTTTAGGAGCAATTCTTTCAGACTCTAGACTGATAAAATACATGCTATTTGAAATGGTACTGCTCTTCCTGGAACATCCTGGACCTCCCCAGTTTTCTGTCCTCTCCACAGTTCTTTCTTTTACTTCATTTAACTTAAACAAAAAAAAAAAACAAAAAAAAAACCCACAACAGCTAACACTAGCAATTCTGCCATTCTTTGTGCCAGTAAAATCTAAAATGAAGCACACTGTGGAGTTGTATTCAAATTGACTTACAGGTGACTCAGCACTGCCCATTTGAATTAATTTGCAAGGTCTTCATTGCTCAGGGTATTGCAAAAGAGAGTCTTTCCCAAAGGGAAATTCTAAGAGTGCATGATTAGGTAGCCACATTCAGGAGAGCACCACTTTGCTGCTTGGTATGTTACAGAGAACAGATGAAGTTCAGGTTATGAACACTCTTCAGTATATGGCCTCTAAAGAAAAATCAAATTTGCTTTGAGATTGACATCACCAAAGCCATAAGAAATTAATATTGCATTTTTCCATTTGAAACTTGATCAGACAAAGGCTGAAGATCAATGGCAAAGACTGTTGCAAAGCACACCTTGAGGTTCAGCGTTAAGGAATTTCTTCAGGGCCAAGCCAGTCTTCAGTGATTCATTTGCTTGTGCATGGTCATGCTGTATGCAAGCTAACTCCCTACTATATTTAACCTATTATTCCAGTCGGATTAGGTGTAAATAGACTGACAAATATAAACCTGTCTTATCCTTCCCTCAGACTGTGACACTATGCTAAGAAACAGACCAAAAAAGCTGATCCTACAAAGAATTCGGTATAAATAAAATCACCGCTGCAGTGCGCTGCAGGAGGTCCTCATTTATTTATTTATTTAAGTGAAGCCTCTCTTTTTTTTTTGAGGAACAGAATGGTTATTAGTTTATTCCTGTTTGAAAGCTTTGCAGCCAGACCTAGGAACTTGCATATCAAGAAAAATCTATGAGAAGACTACAAAAAGTAGGAGATATTTATATTTATAGCTCTGCATCCTAGCTGTCAATTTTATTTTTATCTGCAGAACAAAGACTCCACAGCTGTAATAAAGTTTTTAATTTAATATTCTCAAAGTTTGGTCTGTGCACTCTGAGTACATTTGAATCCCTGAGCATGTATTTCAGTGAATTTTCTGATGCCTAAATGAGTAAATATATAACTTTCGCAGTTCCAAACAATTCTGTGAAGTGCTTTATATTTGACATGATCCAAGCCAGCCTGGCTTCTCCACAGCCTTAGATTTGGCTTTTGATTAGCACCAAACATAGCATATGGCCATAGCATTACTGTATTTTCTTTGTATTTTTTGATAGACATAATAAACCATACCTGAAGTCAATTTAGAGTGGCTTAATGCTGGCATGTCTTTTTTAAATTATAGTAGTTTTCTCAAAAAAATCATTTGAGTCTGAAAGTCAATAGGCATTTTTGCTTCTTCGGTGTGTGTGTTTATGCTTTAGCTGTTGGTCCTTCGCCAGTCAGCAAAGGGCAGACGACTCGCTGCATGTCCCAGCTCCCTTCTACGGGGATTAAATGAGTCTCTGCTCTGACGCCAAAGCTGTAAGAATGCAAGTCCTGCTGAGTGTCTGGTACAGAAGCTTGTAATTCCAGTCACATGGCTTCTTTTTCCTTGGAGGGCTGGTGAATATCTTCAGGTAGCAAAAGCACAGCTTCTTTTCTTTTTCTAGTGTTTGTTCTATACTGCAGCTCCGTATTTTTTCCCGCGATGCCAATCTTCTCCATCTCTAGCAGTTCCCTTGAGACGGGCTTCTGACAATTATATAAAGGCCATATTCACACCATGCCTTGCAGATAGCTCTCCTGTTGTTAGGTCTGCCACACTGTGGTTTATTTAACTCCCAAGTGCTTAACCTTCCATTCAAATCCCAAAATATTTTAAAATTGCGTGGCTTACTTCACACATTCTTACATGTCTAAATGTCTGACTAGCGCTAGTGGTGACTTCTTTATCAAAAATGCAAGTGTAGATTCCTTGCAGAAAACCAGGAAGAAGCTACCTTTGCTTTTTAGCCACTTCTTAATAAAATTCTGTAGTTAGAAATGGCAATGTAAGATACCTTCCTGGAGGCTACAGAGGCGGCATCAATTTTTAAATTTACTTTTAAAACTAGTAAAACTTAATTTACAGCTTGATAGCTCTGAACCCTAAAATGAGCAAGCTGTTCCTATAGAAGATAAAACAGAACACCTTGTTCTTGTGCTACACCCCACTGAAAACGCTATTTCCTTCCTAGTGCTATCCTGTCCTTCAACTCTTTAAAAACAGCAACAGTAACAACAGTGAAGAACTCTCCCCTCTGAAATGATTGTTTGGGTATACTAAGCTGTTCACTCAGGCAGCTGATCCTCCTTTCACATAAAGCTTGCTAGTTGCTTGTGTACCTAAATCCAATACAGGCTGCTCTTTCTCTAGGCTGTCTTGCATTCTGATGAAGTAAGCTAAAACTATTAACTCTCTTCCACATATTCTTTCTATTGTTTTCTTGCAGTATAAGTTTGTTATGAAGCTATTTTATACATAATGCCTGTATGGATTCTGAACACAAATTAAAGCTATTAGTAGTTGGATGCCGCTACATAAACTTAGAAACTCAGGTTTAACATTATCTAGAATACTTGGAAATACCTTTTTGGCAGGAAAAATAGAGAAGCAGTGTTCCCTTGTTCTACTCTGTGGTTGCTTAGATTGAATTTTCCGAATTCACAAACAGGGTCACAACCTTATACTGACCGTTAACCAGGAAAGAGCTTGACCATTCTTTCTACCTAATTTAAAAGAAATACAGTAAAAGTTTGTGCTGAGTTACTTTTTTTAAAGATGTTTCGATGATCGTATTTATTATTTTCTTGGTTCAACTTTATTCTTAAAAACTTTCTGCAAATATGTTTGCAGGCAGGGTTTGCTGCTGAAGGTGCAGAATCTGGCACACCTTTCAATGACATAAACTTGTTAGAAAAGGTATGTTGTCTTTGTTTCATTAGTAAATCTAATTATCTACCTTTCTTTTCCTAAGTCACTAGTCCAGTTTTGCTAGTCACTAGCTGGAAAGAGAAACTAAATCGACTATGAACAATCAGCATTACTAACAGCATCATTGTAGAAGTACATATCTGATAGCTTAGCAGCTGACAAAGGTAGAAATGCAACTTTTCTTTTAAGTCATTCAGGAATTCCAGAGAGCAAACACGTGGAATACTAAATGGCTGGGTTTTTTCAGAGTGGTGAACTGATTTTTCTAGGAAGATGCCTGGGCTTTTTCCTATGCACAGAGATACTAAAAATTAATATAAAGACACTGTCCTTCAAAGCTCAGGATAATGACTCCAGCATTGCAAATCTTCCTTGGCTGTGAGCAAGAATCTGAAGGTCAAATCTGTTCCCTGGTATCCTACTTGGCAGGGATCTGCTTGTCTGCTTACCCACCCGACTAGGGTATTGTAAATGATAGATAATCCTTTCATCTGCCGTGGTTGCCATCTTGTCCACTACAGGCTGTGGACTACATATGAAAAGAAAAAAAAAATCATTGTCCAAACCATGAGACTGAAGCCCATTTAATTTCAGGTCAGTGCTCTTGCTTGTCTCAGATATCAGAACTTAGCTTAGTGTCTGCACAGTGCTTTCCACAGAAATCTAAGACCCAAATTCAGTTTCAGTCTGAGTTCTAGTATGTGTTTTAGACATTATCGCATTCTATCCTCTGTGACTAATACTGTGAAATCTTACTTCCTATAGGATTGGAATGACTATGATGAAAAAACAAAGGAATCTGTTGGAATCTATGAAGTTACCCATAAATTTGTAAAATGCTAAAGTTTATACCCCTAATAAATCTTGACATGGTTATTGATGAAGGAGCTGTAACCATCATAGATGCAGTTTCCTCGGAGTTACTTTTCACATGGCTGTACTTCAGAAATGATAACCTAAGTTGTGCTCACTGTCCCCAGGACGTCCTAATAAAATATTTTCCACAGATCACTTTTGAGATGGCCTCAGTACAAACTGAAAATACTATATACCCTTGACTGAACTGTGCCATTTTCTTAATGTTGTCTTTTGGGGAAATATATATGGTTGTGATGGACTGTAGCTTAACTACTGCATCAACAGTAATTACTTAGACAACTTACTGCCTTGAAGTTTTTAATAGCCTATCACCAAGAAGTACCCATCTTTTATTCTCTGTCAAAAGCAAGGTCTTTCAACTCACCATTCCTATCATCAGGAAATGCCTATGAGCAAAGGGACGGTGTTAACTGTTCAAGTGAAGAAGCATGTCTTTAATAGCTTTCTGCCAGTTCAGGTAAAGACACTGAGGTGAGTTTACTGAGAACACTGAAAAATCTTCACTGCTATTCACACTTACCCATAGCTGTTACATCTTCTGAAAATCTGAGTATGTCGTTAAGTAAACCTCACTCATTTCTAGTTAAAGACACGCATTCTACTTCTGGGCAAGTGCACTCACAATCTTGCCAGCTATTCTCATGCTTTTTTTAAAAAAAAAAAACCACAAACAAAACCAACCAAAAAGACAAACCCTAAAACCTTCTTTAGTGAATTTTATTCAAAGGCTTTTTGGTCTGATTATTGTTTCCTGGTATATTATTTCCTTCATCCTCCCACATGATCACCTTCCTTTCTTTGTTTAAATGAGCAAGAACAATCATGGTATGTTTTAAACTAAGTTTTAAAATAATCCTTTGCAACTGAAAAATAGAACAGCTCATTGCAGGCTGCAGAGGAAACAGCCCTGACTAGGAAAGGTTTATAAGCTGTTGGGCTTACATATTTAAAGCATGCCTCTCCCTTTCCTAGCACTTGCAGTTCATACTCCAAGATACGGTATTGCTTACACTTATTGTGTTACACTGGGAGAACCTGGAAGCTAAGATATCCAAAGGAAGAGTAAAGGCAAGTAGGTTCCTGAGCCTCTGAACCTCACCTGTCACATCCAACCAACCAGCTCAGACTTTATGTTCTGCTAACATATGTGGTTGTCAAGGTCACGGTGGGCTGTGCTGAAAGACATGACAGCATTAGTTTTACACAGCGCTGCAGAAGAAAGCACTACTGTGCTGTTCAGCTCCAAAGACTCATATTCCCAGAAAAAAACCAGTGGAAGACATCAGGGCTTAGAAGGCAGAGAAGTTCAAGTTACACATACCATAACAAATTCTGTGCAAAAAGGGATCTCTCATGCAAAGGGCATCTGTGTTGTAATCCCAGCAACTTTGAGCACCTTTGGCTTCTTGACTGACAAAGGTCCCTTCCCCTTTTGCTACCACCCACTCTGTAGCTGGCAGAGTCCCAGTTGTGAACAGCACACATGGAACTGCCTGCATCAGTTTCATTTTGCATTCACGGCATCACTACATTTTATTGATGTCTGTGCTCAAGCTCTCCCACAATCCCTTCAGAGAGTTCTGATAAGCCTTAGTCTTTAGAACTTCTGCTACAAGCCCCAATGCATTAAAGACACAGCTCTAGGCACTAAGGCTCTGGCATTTGCTACAATAAATGACTTGATCAAAAGTTCTAGCTGATACAACAAGGAGGAAACAGGAAAAAGTTCTGTTGGGGTTACTTTTCCACAGTAAGAGGATGTTTGGAAAGAGAGAATAACAAAACAAAGTTCAGTGATTTTTCTTTTTTTAGGCACAAGAGCACAGGTTTATGCAACAAAACAAAAGCATATTATTGGACAGGCTTCATGTATGGAAGGGGAGAGCCAACATTGCAGCATGCTTTCAGTAGTATTCTTTTCAACTTAGAAGAAACACGAGCTATTGATAAAGGGACTACCCATACTGTATAATTTTGATAGTGCAAGAAAAGAACTTTGTGGTTATTAACAGATAGCTTTATTACAACACAGTCTTTTCCAGGCAATTTAACAACATGGTTGGTGATTGCAGGTTACTTAAAGCCTCCCACTTCATTTTTTGTTTCTCAAAAAGCTGTTAGAGTGGAAAGGCTTCAAGCAGTTGAGGCACAATCAGTTCCAATATCAATTCAAGTTTAAAGAGAAAAATAAGTGTGACAAGTTAGTAAGCAAGCACTCTATACTGCATATATTTTTTAAAAATCAAACAGTTTAAGAGTGGTATCACAGTGCTTTTGCCTGTCTGAACATTCATGGAACACAGATGTTCTGAGTTCATAAACTCAGTAACAATGCTTTTTATTTTAAATAATGTGTTTTAAGAACACATAGATCTGTGGGAACAGATGGATCTGTTACTTAATGTTGACATTGTGAATGTCTGTATTTTCTGAAACGCGCATTCAAGGTCTATACTTAATTTCTTTAAAATAGATACAAATTTCATATTGAATCTAACAGTATTCAAGATCAGTGAAGAAAAATGAAGACAATTAAGCTGGGCAGTCTCAGCCATGTTGAACACCGATTAGTATGCCAATTAGGCATAGTCTGCATTTTGTACTGCAGCTATAAAGTGTTCCAACATTTTTATGTCTAACTACCAATTTTCTTGCCCTTTAAAACATTAAAGATATCTTCCAGTGACTTGTATATACACTGAAGGAATTCTTTACCATTCCTAGTTGGGTAAGAGGAAACATTACAACCTATCCAATCATCATGTACCTGATATCCTACTCCAAAGCCATCAGCCACCACTGGGCCAAACCCTCCTAACTGCACAGCTGGGCTAACCAATGTGCTTGTAGAAATGATGTTGTGATTAAGCCGAGCATATGCCTGGTCTTGATAGAAATCAGGCAGTGCAATACCTTTGGATAAGGCTAAGTAGCGCAAGCCAAAGAGATGTCTGTCAAATCCCTGACCTGTTAAAATAAAATAACAAGTATTAGAGAGATGACTAATTTTTGCAGGAAATAAACTCACTTATTTTGACATCACATTGTTTTTCAGCCGCAAAAGAGGAGGTTTTATTTTCATATTAGCAGGAATAATTTTTCAGAACTCAGACATTCTGTTCTTTTAAGGCACATATCCTAGGGAATGAGGGCTTGCTGGTTTACTGCTAGCCTCAACTGGGAATCATGATAGTAAACAACAGTGCATTGTTAACAGACAATTTTAATAATACACCACATTCTTTGATTAACTATTTATCTGAACATATCCAGGTTGTTTAAAACAGAGAAAGGCTTTCCTAAAATTTATAAATCTAAAAGAGGAAGAGGATCTTGCATCAACAAAAGGAGGCAAATTTTAGACTCTGTGGGGTAATGTTCAACAATCAATTTTACTGAAAGAATACAAGTTATGCTTCTGGGAGAGACAATTAAAAAAATAAAGCATTTAGAAAAATACTAGGAGTAGCACAGCCAAAGAATCAGTTTGATTTGGAAGTTGTTAAAGCCTTTATCCTCTGCAGGTTTAAGATAGTAACTCCTCAGACATAAAGCCAAAGTTGTTGCTTGCCTTGGGGAGTACAACATGCACTAAGTGTTTATCAAATTTTCAAATAGCCCAGCTGCTATACGGACAAAAACTAAAGTATAAATTCTCAACACATGAACAGTGAAGCAGGAAGCACAGAAGCATTCTCCTCCATCAAGAAACGAGTCTTAGAGAATTTATTTTAAACTGCAGCCTTCTGATACTGGTTTTGTCAAGTTTACATTAACATGACACCTCCATCAAAATTAAATTTAAATTTAGTTGTGAAGTAAACATTTACAGCAACCTTAATAGACAGTTTAGTACAAAAGCAAGAGTGTTTGATATATTCCTACTTACCCATAGCAGCTTCTTTTGTCAAACGGCCGTGGTATTTTGAGCACTCCACTATCAACTTGTGCAGCTCTTCTGTGCTATGTTTGGACAGTTCCCTGACAAAAGCTTCTGAACATTTCTTTGTATGAATAGAGGCAGGACGTATAGTTTCTGTACGACCATGTTTGAAAGCTGCAGTACTACAAGACTCATATGTAGCAACAGTCTGGTTGTATTGTCGAAAGAAAGCCATCTGGAAGGCAAGCTGAGCCACAGCATCTGGACTTACTTTCTTCTGCTTTAGAAGGTCCTTGCCCCCTTCATGAAACTGAATCATATTAATAGACAGTGCTTCTACACTGGCATCAAATTTCTGTTTGGCTTTGGTAATCCCTTCTTTTAAGGCATCATTCAACTTAAAGTCAAGTTTCTGTACTGCTCTAGAAGAGTCTACTGAAGCAGGCTGGGACTGGGGGCTGATGGCTGGTGCCTTGGTGCTATCTTTAAAAACCTCATTCTGGAACCTGAGCACAGCCACACCGTCTCCCCAGGAATGTTCAAAATTAATTCCTGCAGTGCCATCCTTAGTTATGATAAGATTAAAGGATTTGTCATACCAGCGGTTAGCACCATCTCCATGCAACATAGTGTGGGACAAATGCACAAAGTCTTTAATGGGAAAATCATCTAAACTTAAACAAAACATCGCAGAGTCTACTTTTTGAAGAGCTTCTTCATTGCCATTATCCAGTAGAGTCTTTCTCAGCAATGCCCATGTATCTCGGTTTTCACTGGAGAGGTAGCCAAGAGGGAAGGCCGGGGCAGGACTGTTGTCGCTAAGGATGTATTTCAAGTGTGCTTGTATTTCTGAAGGTTTCAGCATATTTCCATCTCTATCAATAACATCTAATACATAAAAATTCCCATTTCGCAGAACCAGTAAATGTTTCGCCTTTTCATCTGTGTAAAGCTCATCTCTGTTGAGTTTAGGCAGCCGCGTAGAATTGAAAAGCCTGAAGTACTGAGACATATCTAGGGGGTATGCATTGACCATGTAGGCACCAAACCAAGAAAGTGAAGAAGGCACAAATCGAATAATTTTTTTAAAGAGCTGAGTGTCACTTTTTTCCGGATTGAGGTGAAAAACCTCTGGTTCAAGATAACCAGCCCTGAAGGTCTTCATAAAACGTAAAGCAGAAACAGTCATGTTTGTAGCTCGTATGAGCTGATCGTTATATTCGGATTTTGGATCAGGATT